GGGGAAATAGGGGAGGGGAGAGTGGTAGTGGAGGTGGAGGCGAAGGAAGGGGAAAGAAGGGGAAAGGAAGGGTTAGGGAAGGAGGAGGGGGTGGAGGGGGAAGGGGAATGGGACAGAGAAGGTGGAGGTGTAGAGGAAGTATGTGGAGGAAGGGGTGGAGGTGTATAAAGTTGGTGGATCGGGAAGGGGGGGAAATATAGACTTGAAAGACTTGAAATCTTCGAGTCAACTAATAGAAGATGCTTTTTAGCAAAGGCTATAAAGTATCTGGCTCTTCTGAGGTAATATACTTTTGTGTGTGTGTGTGTGTGTGTGTGTGTGTGTGTGTGTGTGTGAGTGTGTGAGAGAGAGAGAGAGAGAGAGAGAGAGAGAGAGAGAGAGAGAGAGAGAGAGAGAGAGAGAGAGAGAGCGAGAGAGCGAGAGAGAGTGTACGTTTATTTTCACTATAAAAATCTTGAGGGTGCTAGGGACAAGATTACCTTCGTTAACAAGGCCATTTCGTCGGCCTTCGTCCTTCGTAGCTTTCCTGCCGAGTTTTCCCAGCGACTTGGCGGAGGGCACAGGATATGCGGGCGGCGAGGGCGGGCGTAAGTGGGCGGGCGTAGTAGCGTTTGCGGGCGGCCGTGACCTCCGTGACCCCCGTCGGCGACTTGGGCGTAATGGCGAGCTGCATTTGTTTTAATGGGCGGGAGGAACGGGCGCTGCTGCCTTCGTGTTGCTCGCCTTTGGGGGAAGCAAGGCGCGCCCATCGTGTACACGCCCGCGGATGGTAGGCGCGCGTTGATGCTTCTGCGGACACGTACATCAGGGGTTTGATTGGATGCTTGTACTTGAATTCGTTTACTTTTGATTTTCTGTCTCATTCATACTTACTCACCCACCCACTACCCACTCACCCACCCTCTCACCCACTCATTCACTCACCCAAAAACCCACCCACCCACCCACCCACCCAACCACCTACCCACTCATTCACTCACACTCCCTCACAGCCGCGTACTCTGTCTCGCTCGAATTTCTCATTCTTTCCGCGCCATTAGTCACTTCCAGCCCGGCTCACGACATGCACACGACTGCAAACATGTGTTAAGCATCACGCCCCAGCGCTGCGCCTGATGAATCATGACAATCAAAGAGGCCCCGTGCATGATAGTGCATGATAAATCAGCGCGCACTGGGCGAAGCCACTCGGGAGCGCGCATGGGATTGTGGGGGTGGGGATCGGGGGATGAGGGGGGGGTGTATGTGTGCATGTGTTTGCATTCGTACGGGAGAGGTGTTTGTGTGTGTGTGTGTGTGTGTGTGTGTGTGTGTGTGTGTGTGTGTGTGTGTGTGTGTGTGTGTGTGTGTGTGTGTGTGTGTGTGTGTGTGTGTGTGTCTGTCTGTCTGTCTGTGTGAATGTGCATCTTTGTGTGTGTGAGAGAGAGAGAGAGAGAGAGAGTGCGTGCGTGCGTGCGTGAGGGAAAAATTGAGTGGATGAGTCGTGTGTTCGTGTGCATGTATGTGTAAACATTGGTATGTTAGTAATAAGATGAAGTCAAATCGTTTCGTTTCGTCCTTGCCATTCATCACGCGGTGTCCTAAGTATACCACCAGGTTATCACACTGTCTTTGTTCTCGCTGTTATTGCACTGTTGCATTATTGCTACCTAATTTCGATTCCGGTGACGGAGTTTCAGGTACTGGGGTAGGGTATGGGCCGAGGGAGGAGGAGGGGGAGGAGGAGGGGGGGGGGGGGGGGGCGTGAGTGCAGGTACTTCACCCGGGGCCGCCCACAGACAGGTACGCTGCCTCCCACGCCCTCGCTCTTGCAATTGACTCGGAAGTAGAGCTGCAACAATGGATGGCAAAGAAACGCGTTGACCTCCCCGCCCTTGACACGCTTGTGCTTTGCCTCCCTTCCCCTACCCCCCCTTTCCCCTCTCCTCCCCTTACCCTCTCCCCGCTTCGCTACTCTTTCCCCTTTTTTCGTGGCGCTTCCCCCCCCCCCCCCCCTCTCTCTCTCTCTCTCTCTCTCTCTCTCTCTCTCTCTCTCTCTCTCTCTCTCTCTCTCTCTCTCTCTCTCTCTCTCCCTCTCCCTCTCCCTCTCCCTCTCCCTCTCCCTCTCCCTCTCCCTCTCTCCCTCTCCCTCTCCCTCTCTCCCCCCTCTCCCCCCCTCTCCCCCTCTCCCTCTCTCCCTCTCTCCCCCACTCTCCCTCTCTCTCCCTCCTTCCCCCTCTCTCTCCCTCTCCCTCCCTCCCTCCCTCCTTCCATCCTTGTATCTATCTATATCTCTATCACTGTTCCTATCACATCCTGTTTTATCATCTTCCAACTTATCGTAATTATTTCTACTCGTAAAAAGTAGTAGATATAATAACAGTTTTTTCATCTTCATCGCCAGTGTTGTTCTCGTAGCATAATTTATTTATAATTTGCGTTAATAATTTTTTTTCTCTCTCTTTTGATAGGTGTTCAGTGAGGGAAGTGATGACGTCACAAATGAAGGAACGACAACCAGGTAAGTCTAACGCAAACGGCCTTTTCGCGAGGGAGGGGGGGGGAGAGGGAGAAGGGAGGATAGAAATAAAGGAAAAGGGGGAGAGAGAGGGAGACGAAGAGGTAGAGGAAAAGGGAGAAAGAGAGGGAGGTGGAGAGGGAGAGGAAGAGATGGAGAGAGGGAAAGGGAGGAGAGAGGGTGAGGGAGATGTAGAGGTAGATAAAGGCGAGGCGAAGGAAGGGAGAAAGAAAGAGGTGAAAAGAGGGAGGGAGGAGAGTGGGAGGAGCAGATAGAAGAGTCAAAGAGGAAGGGAGAGGGAGAAGGGGGAGAGAAAGAGAGTATCAAGGAAAATTACAGCTTTTTGAGACGAAGTTCTAGTTGCTATGGCTACGTGGAGCAAAAGTTCCATAGAGACAAAATAAAACAGCGGTAACTCTTTGTGTGGAGGAGGAGGAGGAGGAGGCAGAGGAAGAGAACGGGCTGAAGGAGGAGGAGGAGGAGGGGGAGAAGGAGAAGGAGGAAGGGGAAGAGGAAGGGCGGAAGGAGGAAGAGGAGGAGGAGGAGGAAGAGGAAGAGGAAGAGGAAGAGGAAGAGGAAGAGGAAGAGGAAGAGGAGGAGAAGAAGAAGAAGAAGAAGAAGAAGAAGAAGAAGAAGAAGAAGAAGAAGAAGAAGAAGAAGAAGAAGAAGAAGAAGAAGAAGAAGAAGAAGAAGATGATGATGGAAGGAGTAGGAAGGAAAGGAAGAGGAAGGGTGGAAGGAAAAGATGGATGTGGTGGAGGAGAAGGAAGAAAAGCAGGGAAAAAAAGAAGAGAAGGAGAAGGAAGAAGAAAAAATATATTAGGAGTTAAGAATAAAGAAATAAGGGTTATGTAACGTTTACTTTCTTTATGCTGTAATTTACCTCTCCATGGCCATTTCTTCTTCTCCCCGACTTTCTTTTACTTGTTTTCTCCTCCTCTTCACCCTTGCCCTTGTCCTCCTCCCTCCTCTCTTCGTCCTCTCCGTCCTCTTCTCCATCTTCCCTTCTTTACCCCTTCCCCCCCTTCGTCCTCTCCTTCCTCTTCTCCCTCCTCCCTTCTTTACTCCCTCCCCCTTTCTATTCCACCTCTCCCCGTATCCTACCTCCCTCTCCTCCCCTCCCACCCACGTCCTTCCTCTTCCCCCTCCTCCCTTCTTTTAACTCCTTCCACCTTTCCCCCGTCCTCCTCCCCTTCCCCCTCCCCCCCCCTCTCCCCCCCACACCCTAAGGGCATTGAGCGTATCCCAGTAAATAAGAGCGAGACAACACCAGACTGCCTCCTTAATTACGCCCTCTCCCCTCGCCCCTCCCCTCTCCCCCCTCCTTCCACCCTTCCTCTTCCCTCTCCCCTCTCCCCTCTCCCCTCCTTCGCTCTGCCTTCCTTCCACTCTTCCTCTCCCCTCTCCCCTGTCCAGACCCAACCACCCTCACTCACCCGGACACCCGTGTGCATTCCCTCCCCCCTCCCTCTCCCTCATTTCCTTCCTTTTCGTCTGCGTCTTCGTCTCCTTTCGTTGGTCTTTTGGCTTTTTCAAATTGTGTATTAGGTAGGTACAAACACACACACACACGCACACGTACATACACACGCACGCACACACACACACACACACACACACACACACACACACACACACACACACACACACACACACACACACACACACACACACACACACACACACACACACACACACACACACACATATGCACACATATGCACGCGCGAATGCACACATGGCATGCCTTTTCCCTGCCCATTGCTTGGGATGCGGTGAAAAGTATTAATTAGTCATTTACCTCTGCGTGTGTATGTATATATTTATGTATGTATGTATGTATGTATTTGTGCTTTTGTGTATCTGTTTGTATGTGTCTGTTTTTATCTTGTGGTTTATTGTTTATCTTATTCTCTTCTCTTCATTTGATCCTCTTTTTAATCAAGGTCGAGCATATGACCTTGACTCCTGTTGTTTCGTTCTCGCCGTCTCGTTCTGCTCCTCGCCTTTCCTTTCTCTTCAATTTCTGCTCCCCTCTCTTCCGGTTTTCCTCCCTCTCTTATTCATTCTCTCTCTCTCTCTCTCTCTCTCTCTCTCTCTCTCTCTCTCTCTCTCTCTCTCTCTCTCTCTCTCTCTCTCTCTCTCTCTCTCTCCCTCCCTCCTGCCCTGATTATTCCAGTTCTCCCCTTTTTTTTCCTTCTCTCAGTCCCACATCGTACCTCCTCTCCCCCCTCCCCTCTCCTCTTCCCCTCCCCCTCCTCTTCCTCCCTCCCCCCCTCTTCCCCCCTCCCTCCCCCCGTGTTTATGCCCGGGGCGAGAGGCGTGGACGGTAGCCCCGACGGCCGGGCAGATGGATGTGGCGTTTGCATGCGTTGGCGGCTCTGCAGGGAGGTTGCAGCGGCGTGCGTGCGTGGCGGCCCGCCCGTTACTGCTCCTCCGCTCTGTGCTTGCCCTCGTTCCTTCTCTCGTTCCTTCTCTCGTTCCTTCTCTCGTTCCTTCTCTTCGTTCCTTCTCTCGTTCCTTCTCTTCGTTCCTTCTCTCGTTCCTTCTCTCGTTCCTTCTCTCGTTCCTTCTCTCGTTCCTTCTCTCGTTCCTTCTCTCGTTCCTTCTCTCGTTCCTTCTCTCGTTCCTTCTCTCGTTCCTTCTCTCGTTCCTTCTCTCGTTCCTTCTCTCGTTCCTTCTCTCGTTCCTTCTCTCGTTCCTTCTCTCGTTCCTTCTCTCGTTCCTTCTCTCGTTCCTTCTCTCGTTCCTTCTCTCGTTCCTTCTCTCGTTCCTTCTCTCGTTCCTTCTCTCGTTCCTTCTCTCGTTCCTTCTCTCGTTCCTTCTCTCGTTCCTTCTCTCGTTCCTTCTCTCGTTCCTTCTCTCGTTCCTTCTCTCGTTCCTTCTCTCGTTCCTTCTCTCGTTCCTTCTCTCGTTCCTTCTCTCGTTCCTTCTCTCGTTCCTTCTCTCGTTCCTTCTCTCGTTCCTTCTCTCGTTCCTTCTCTCGTTCCTTCTCTCGTTCCTTCTCTCGTTCTTCTCTCGTTCCTTCTCTCGTTCCTTCTCTCGTTCCTTCTCTCGTTCCTTCTCTCGTTCCTTCTCTCGTTCCTTCTCTCGTTCCTTCTCTTCGTTCCTTCTCTTCGTTCCTTCTCTCGTTCCTTCTCTCGTTCCTTCTCTTCGTTCCTTCTCTCGTTCCTTCTCTTCGTTCCTTCTCTCGTTCCTTCTCTCGTTCCTTCTCTCGTTCCTTCTCTTCGTTCCTTCTCTCGTTCCTTCTCTCGTTCCTTCTCTTCGTTCCTTCTCTCGTTCCTTCTCTCGTTCTTTCTCTCGTTCCTTCTCTCGTTCCTTCTCTCGTTCCTTCTCTTCGTTCCTTCTCTCGTTCCTTCTCTCGTTCCTTCTCTCGTTCCTTCTCTCGTTCCTTCTCTTCGTTCCTTCTCTCGTTCCTTCTCTTCGTTCCTTCTCTCGTTCCTTCTCTTCGTTCCTTCTCTCGTTCCTTCTCTCGTTCCTTCTCTTCGTTCCTTCTCTCGTTCCTTCTCTTGTTCCTTCTCTCGTTCCTTCTCTCGTTCCTTCTCTTCGTTCCTTCTCTCGTTCCTTCTCTCGTTTCTTCTCTCGTTCCTTCTCTCGTTCCTTCTCTCGTTCCTTCTCTCGTTCCTTCTCTCGTTCCTTCTCTTGTTCCTTCTCTTCGTTCCTTCTCTTCGTTCCTTCTCTCGTTCCTTCTCTTGTTCCTTCTCTCGTTCCTTCTCTTCGTTCCTTCTCTCGTTCCTTCTCTCGTTCCTTCTCTCGTTCCTTCTCTTGTTCCTTCTCTCGTTCCTTCTCTCGTTCCTTCTCTCGTTCCTTCTCTTGTTCCTTCTCTCGTTCCTTCTCTTCGTTCCTTCTCTCGTTCCTTCTCTTCGTTCCTTCTCTCGTTCCTTCTCTCGTTCCTTCTCTCGTTCCTTCTCTCGTTCCTTCTCTCGTTCCTTCTCTCGTTCCTTCTCTCGTTCCTTCTCTCGTTCCTTCTCTCGTTCTTTCTCTCGTTCCTTCTCTTCGTTCCTTCTGTTCGTTCCTTCTCTTCGTTCCTTCTCTCGTTCCTTCTCTTCGTTCTTTCTCTCGTTCCTTCTCTCGTTCCTTCTCTTCGTTCCTTCTCTCGTTCCTTCTCTCGTTCCTTCTCTCGTTCCTTCTCTTGTTCCTTCTCTCGTTCCTTCTCTCTCTTCTTATTTTAGGTGTTTTTTTGTTTGTTGATTTTCTTGGGTTCAGTTTGATATTTTTTTGTTGTTATTTTTATTTTATTTCTTGGTTCGGTTGGCTTGTCTTATCTCTTGAGAGAAGGGGAGGGAGGGGGAGGGACCCCTGAGTGTTAGGGGGTCACAGTCAAGGAGGCTCGGATAGAACCTTAGTCAGTTCTAAGGGAATTAAACGTAATGTAGTTGCCGAATCCCCCTCCCTCCCTCTCCCCTCTCCCCTCTCCCCTCCCCCTTTCCCCTCTCCCCTTTCCTCCCCTCTTTCCCTCCCCCTTTCCCTCCCCCTTTCCTTCCCCTCCCCTCCCCTCCCCTCCCCTTTTCACTCCCCTATCCTCCACCCCTTCCCTCCCTCCTCCTTCAATACCTCTTTCCTTCCTTCCTTTCTTCCCCCTTTCCTCCTAAACTTCCTCTCTCCCTCCCTATGTTCCTTCCTTCCTCTCTACCTCTCCTCCCCCCCCCCCTATCTACCTCTCCCTCTCTCTCTCTCTTCAGGTACGAGAGGTTATTGAGAAAATGATGAGTCGAAACGATTGGACCCCCCCCCCCCCCAGAGACGCTGGAACGTTGTGAATGGCTGCGGAGGGGGGTGAGGGGGGGTAGGGTTGTGGGGGGATGGGGTGAAGGGGTGGGGGGGAGGGAAGGAGAGGGGAGTTACTAGGTAGGGGTAGACGGGAAGGGAAATAGATGGGGCGTTGTAGGGGAGGAGGGAGGAGCGTAGATGTGGGAAGTGTGTGGGGGGGGAGGGGGTTGGTAGGGTTGGGGGTGCAGAGGAGGATCAACGAAAGGAACCTGCGGATGGCGCTGAAGGAGGGG